CGTGTGGATGTAGTGGCCGGGGTGCGCCACACCGGCCGCGGCCGCGTGGTTGGGGTTCTCATAGACGGTGCTCTGCAGCTGCTCCAAGAACTGATCAATGTTCAGAAGATCGCTCTTGGTCCTCAGGTTGGGCAGTGGCAGAGAGTAGGGGTGGTGCATGGGAGGGTGCTGCGCTTGGGCAACCATGGTGCCTCCGTGGCCGCCGTACTCGCCCATGCCGCCCTGGTAGCCGCCGCCACCGAGAACAGGAAGTTGGACACCCTGAAGACCCATGAGTCGCTGGCCAACGTCATAGTAGGTCGTGGGGTCGATTGCGCGGCGCTTGGCGTCTCCAAAAAACTCGTTGAGCGCATCGTAGGCGGCGCGCTTCCTGATTTCGTAGTCGTTGTTGAGCTGCTGCGACTGGTTTACAGCATAGTAGACGGGGCCATAGGCAGAGTTTTGGGGCGGGCCTCCGTAGAAGCCGGCTGGGGCACCGCCGGGGTGCTGTTGGCCGTAGCCTGCATTGGGGCCAATTGCGCTGTCGGGATACTGATATCCACTCGCTGTAGCGGCAAGGGCCTGCAAGTCAGCGACCACTGTTGCAGGCTGTTAGATTGTGAAAGGAGAGAGAGGGCGCGAGCACGGCTGGGCTCGGGACGACGACAACCGAGCACGTCATGTGAAAGGACTTACGTTTCCCGTTTTGGCCGGGGTAGCCTTGGGCTCCGTGGGCGCCGCCGCGGTTGGGCTCTGGCGAGCGCAGCAGAACAGAGTCGTCGGCGTGCGTCTTGACGTGCTTCTTGAGATCCTGGGGGCGCTTGAAGGCCTTGCCGCAGAAGTCGCACTTGTGCGGCTTGAGGGGCACGTGAACGCGGATGTGCGAAGTGATGTGGTCGCGCTTGACCGTCGTGGTGCGGCAGTTACCCCACTGGCACGTCAGGTTGAGGTTGTTTGTGCTCTTGCGGCCAACATGGCGCTCACAGACGTGGTCCTGCTCGCGGGTCAGCGCACGCGGGGGCAGGCGGGCGGGCAGGCGGTGCGACTTACATAGAGCTGCTCGGCAGAGGGCAGGCGGTCGCCGCAGTTCTGCCACTGGCAGACGAGCTGGTCGCCGGCGCCGGCGCCGGCGACAGAGGCAGGCT